TTCATTTGTCACCATCACTACCAATAATAAGAGAAAGATATAACAGTTAAATGCATGGGTGGCATCGGTTCAAATGTTAACCACAAATTCTTTTCCTTATTTTTCTAATGTCAAATATATTGTTGTACAAGTTTTGAGCATATTATATAGCCTCCCAAATAGACACTAAAAATATTTTTATTTAGATGGCACACATAAAAAAATGGTGGAAAAAACGTCATTTAATTTGGAAGAAACTTACTAATAAGGTTACTCAAAGAAATTAAAACTTACTAATCACTGAAGTATGCCTTAGACTGACATTTTGCTTGATAGAACTCATAATGCTTGATCCATTGGCTATCAGAATCGCGATTTCAGTAAGAATGATATCCATACAAGGATCCTCAGATTCGAGTGCATCAAACATTTGAGCAGTTGAAGTCACGGGAGCAACTGCACATCATATATTTATTATGTATGATTGGGGCCGATTCCGGCGAGAACACTTCTTCACAAACGCGCATTATGGTTCATTGATGTGCACATTTATAGTTAAAATAATGCAAAGTTCAAATGTGCATGTTTCTTGTTAAAATAATGCACAATTCAAATGAATATTTTCTAATTTATGATAGTTGCATTTTTGTTTAACATAATGCACGATATCTAAATCCAACATTACATAATCATTATCATTTTTCTCCCGATCTCATTTGAACCAAATTTTTACTCCGTATATGCTTAATTATTACACAAGTTTAAATTAATTAGAGTTCATTTTCCCAACGAGACTAGAACCAAATCAGTAATCATCCCATTATCTCAAGGCCCACAAAATTTAGGGGGTCTAAGACTCTAAGGGTATACGTATACTAGCCCGGCCTAGACCAACACTATAATTTCTTTTATTAGCCCACCCAAACATTTTCTTCGCGGTGGAATATTAATCAGAAACTTACTGATATACGACTAAAACGATATGAAAATGCACAAATAAGAATATGTATGTTATCTTTATGGGAGCAAGTTACTCTTAGGAATATGTATGTACATTTTTTAATACGAGCAAGTTACTCCTACTAAACATTATTTCCCAAAAGATCTTTGCCTATATGTGCACATTGTATGACTTTTACTCCAATATAGGTCAACTTTTAGAAAAATATCGATTTAACCATGAATAGGAAGGAGCGTATAAACGAGCATACCCTGGTAAGAACATTGGGTAAGAAGCTGCAAAACTTGGCCACAACTTTCAGCATTGAAGTCACAAAGCAGAATCCTTACTCTGCTGCAATCTGTAATGGCATTCCTGCACTCACTAGTGTTTCCAATATTATTACTACTTAGCATTGTGCTCTTACCTTTACCCATATTTTACTTTCCCTAAAAATAATCAACTTTTAAAGTAATGTCTGATATACATACTGCTTCAAACACACACACAAACATATATACTACATGCAATTGATTGAGTTTGTGGTATATCCACAGAAAAGTGTTTGGCTCTACCAAACTTTCAAGGATCCAAGGCCTAATCAGGCCATTAGTTCTTCTCCTGAGTTCTAATTGTGTTTTGATATTATTGTTACAGGCTAATTACATTATGCTATGATCCAAAAATAATAATGCCAGAAAATGGGATAAGAGTTTGGTGTTAGGAGACATCTGACAAAACTATACTCCGTATGAAATCGCAGGGAGGAAATTAACAGGTGTTACATTATTAGCATATATGCTAAATATAATTATTAATCTTCTTGATTATCACTTAATTAATTGGACTCCAACAAATTAAACTGACTAATTACTTAATTAGTTACTAATAACTTACTAACTATAACATGTGCCGCAAGCATGATTACCTCTGGGAAGCTGCCGTATTAGAGGTTCCTCTTTTTATTTAGACAAATTAAATGATCCAATTTCATTAACCATAAGATCCATAAGTAAACGTTTTTATTCCTTTTTGAGAAATTGGCACGTTTTAATTGAGTTGCATGAGTGGTTGCTTGAGTGAAGTTAATAGTAGGCAAGGCTCGGCCAAATACTTGCCCAACTTACTCCAGGCCTAATCATGAAGTCGTACGTATGACCATTACCATACGAAATAGTATGGTATATTACTAGTAAAATAATCATGGAAAAATTTGACTTTGTAATTATTATTGACAATAATTGTATTCAAAGTATACAACATAGTGAATATATGCAATCACTAAAATATATTCTCTCCGGTTCCAAAAGAACTTCGCAATTTGATTTCACGGTTTTTAAGAAAGTGTGATTTTTTTGTTTTGACTTTCATAAACCGCAATATAGGTGAAGGGTAACTTTATCTACTTTACATTCATAAACTTTTATCAAGATATTACCTACTTTACATTCACTTTCTCTCTCCCACTACACATTATCTACTTTACATTCATAAACCGCAATCAGACCATGAAATTGGGACGAAGGAAGTAACTCACAGGAATCAATGTTTTGATACATGAATCATGTATAAAAAATATTGAACGCAATGACTATGAAATTATTTAACGATTACCAATGTTGACTTGATAAATAGTTGGCTTAATAAATACTTTTGTAGCTAGATTATTGTGTGACCAGTTATACTTGTTCATTTTTTGGGAATATTTATAATATTTGTTCCCTTTTTTAACGAAAAAAATATTAAAAGAGTTTTAAAAAGCAGTATAACGCTAATACAATGAAAGTAAAATTCTAAAGAAACAGCATAATTAAAATTATTATTCAGAGAAAAAGCCCCACTGAAAAATAGAGTCCATAACAATGAAACCAAAAGCACCTCTGCTATCTGATGATAGAACCCACCTACAATATTTACTACATATCCCTTAAAATATTCCCAGGGGCGGAGTTAGGGGAGGGCCAATCCTGGCCCTGGCCCAGCCCAAATTTTAAAATTGTCTAAATTTTTAGTGTAAAAAATTCCGTGAAAAATATTTTCCAAAAATATTCTTTGTATCGGCCCAGGCCGGTCCAGTGCCCTGGCTCCGCCCCATTATATTCCAATTGTTTAAGTTAGGATTACTTAAACAGATAAGCCACTTCCAAATGAGAGTAGTGAATCTGGAAGCCAAAAAGCACTACCATATCAAAACTAAATTTGAGGATAAAATCCCTTTTCAATTGAGCAATGCATGTACTAGATTTTTTTTTTGAAAGCTGAATTGTTTGCTTTCAATATGGACTGATATTAGTTCCCCGACATTTGTTCATTTTCTTTAAATTGAGTAATACGATGTAATTCATAAAACAGGCAATGTACAAGACTACAAAAGTCTCTATATAAAGTTCGAGTTAGGTCGAAATGTAGATAGAATCAGCTGATGGTAGAATACACTAGAGAATACGAAGTATAATGGTAGTGATATGATTTTATAATTTCATCATTTGCGATTTCAAATAATTTCAAATAATAGACCCAAAAACAATATTGCATATACACTACAAATCTACAGCCCTTTTATTGCTTGTAGTGACTTTCACTATTGCGCTATATTAACTAACTGTAAATTCTCAATACAATGAAGGTAGCCATAACAATATAATATGTCTTGTTAGTGCACAACTAGCTACAATGGCAATGTCTCAATGTGGCTTCATAGTTAATACTGCACAACTAGTCACTACATACTTACATTTAGTATTTGTAGCACCATTGCCTGTTAAATGAGGGTCTTATAAGGTTTATGGAAAAATTTACACGAAACTTTTTACATAGAAGACGAAAACTTCTTTTAAATTTGTGGTGGTCTAGGATCTAAGCTGACCCCTCTCTAGCTCCACCCATGACAACGATGCATACAGATTTGTAGGATCCAAGCCAATGATTGAATTTTTTTCAAAGTGTTTTTATTATCATTATCTTTACATATTTCAATAGTTCATTGTTGATGTATGAAATGATTATATCGTATGCATTTTAATTGATTAAGCTAAGGGATGATATTTGCTACGAAGTACTATTAAAACTATACTCTCTATATAAATGGAATATGATAAGGAGTTTAATATGACCTTAAAATGGTGAATATGTAATTATCTCATTAAGTTTTTATGCTTTGTGCTGAATGTGTGTGTGTTCGTTGAAAAGAAGAGCGGTCTGAGGTTTATTCCCCAAAAAATTGAATGTTAGTTGAGCTATCCTTTCCCTCCAACCACAGCGGTTCAAGAGCGCGTCAACAGCATCTCTTTTACCTCTTAGAGAACTGCAAAACCATCCAGCAGCTTACCCAGATCCATGCTCAAATCATTACCACCGGGCTAACCCAGAAAAACTTCATTCTTGGGAAGCTCCTAACATTCTGCATAATCTTCCAAAGACTGTCATATGCCACCCAAGTATTCGAATGGGTCTGAAACCCAAGCACCATTCTTTGGAATCAAATCATCAGAGGTCACACCAGTGGCGATCAGCCACGGCTATCTGTTCTGTATTTCCGGAAAATGGAAAAAACCACTGCTTTACCCGATGGGTATACGTACTCATATGTAATCAACAGTTGTGCAAAAGGGGTGTTGATGTGTGAAGGCGGGCAAGTTCACGGCAAGATATTGAAAAAGGGGTACTTTTCTGACGCGTTTGTTCAAACGAATTTAGTGAACTTCTACTCAGTCGTTAGTAGACAACATGGAACTGTTAGTGCGAGTAAGGTGTTTGAAGAAATGACTAAAAGAACTCCGGTGGCTTGGAATTCACTGATCTCTGGGTATTTTAGATGTGGGAATTTCAACGAGGCATCCCTCATTTTCCACGAGATGCCAGAGAAGAACGTTGTTTCCTGGACTGTATTGATAGCTGGTTCTGCACAGAACCACAGATGCAAAGAAGCGTTGTCTTTTTTCCGTGCAATGCACAGCAATTGCGTGGAATTTGACCAGGTGACCTTGGTGTCAATTCTAGCTACTTGTGCAGAAATGGCTTTCTTGGATATGGGAAGATGGATACATTCATACATTCTTGAATCCATAACTGTCGAAAGTGGGCAGGTGTTAATCTCCGTGAACAATGCACTTATGCACATGTATGCCTGTTGTGGTGAAATCAAGGATGCTTATAAGATATTCATGGAAATGCCCGAGAGAACCATAATTTCTTGGAATACAATGATAACTGGTTTCGCCAAACAGGGCTATGCAGGAGAGGCTCTCACCATATTCCGGGAGATGGAAACTTTAAAAGCTAAGCCGGACGAAATCACAATCTTGGGCATATTATCTGCGTGTAGTCATGCCGGTTATGTCAATAAAGGCCGGTTTTACTTTAAAAGAATGAGAGAGTGTTATGGAGTGGAGCCAAGAGTACAACATTATGGTTGCATGGTTGATCTCCTTAGTCGCGCTGGACTCTCACATGAAGCAGAGAGACTTGTCAAGTGTATGCCTATGGTGCCAAACAATGCCGTGTGGGGTGCTCTTCTAAGTGGCTGCATTATTCACAAGAACTTAAGCATTGCTTCAGTCGTTGCACAGAAATTTACAGTCGAGGTCGAACAACCCGAAAGATCAGCAGGCTATTTCATGCTCTTGGCAAATGTGTATGCCACTCACAAGAGGTGGACCGCGATGGATAGCGTGAGACGGAAAATGTTTGAGATCGGAGTGAGGAAACATCCAGGCCAAAGTTGGATCCGAGTTGGTGGGGTCGACCATGATTTTTTTGCTGGTAACCGAAATCACAAAGAGACTTATCTGGTCTATGAGATGGTTGATGAAATCACTGGGCAGGCTAAGGATGTTTTTACTTGGACTGTCATTTGCTGGTCTGGTCTGGCCTGGTCTAGTCTGGTCTGGTCTGGTAAGATCTGATTTCTTTGTATTTTTATAACTATCCAAGTCTGGTCTGGTCTGGACTGGTCTGGTCTGGTTTGGGACAAATTACAATCCAAGTAAAAATATCCTAAGTTGCAAGGATACTACCCATATGACATTTTGGCTTCTTTTTCATAATTCATCAGCTCTTAATATTATTACTATTAATATTATATTAATAGAGCTACAGTGATATATGATTAATGTAAGTAGTTTCTTGTTAGTTGTTACTAACTAAATATCAAGTACGTTCACATTATTTAAAAAACTTGTTTATCACCATTGTTCAGCAGTTTTACTGAATCCAAGGTAGTACTAGAATTTGAGGGCTAGGCTCCGCTTGGTAGCCCTAATTGGATTGTTTTGCTTCTCAAGTGAGTAAGAACCCGTTTGGTTAGCATTATCCGCGAACCCTAAGCAAAACAAGCCATAGAAGGCTACCAAACAGAGCCTAAGCAAAACAAGTAGCTTCTCGCTAATTTATCTGGCTGAAAAAGGTTATACCCAACGACTTTTCTTTAGTAGAAGTATAGAACTGAGCAGATTTTGTCATGTTAGTCAAATAAACCTTAACCTTTAGACTCATATTTTCACTATTTAACGGAAGAGCTTGTTTTTGGAGTAATAGAAGAGTTTTTATTTTCCAAAACAGTAACCCTTATAATTCTTGTCCTCGCGTGATACTGATCAGTGACCAAATGAGCAGATTCTTGAAACCAGTTACAACTGGTAAAAGGGCGAGTAACACTACAAGAAAAATGATTTATAGAGGCAAGACAAAGTTGCCTCTATCTATAGGAAAGTGGCCTCTAATTGCTTTTAGAGACAATTTATTAGTTGCCTCTAAGTTGTCTCTAACTAATCCGTCCCTAAATAATGGTTGCCTCTAAAACTACTTTTAGAGACAACCAAAGATGTGACTCTAAATAGCATGTATTAGAAGCAACCATATTATCTTGTCTCAAGGTATGACTTTTTACGTGTTTAATTTTGTTGTCATGCTATCCTTACTTTATTGTGATTTATTTTTATATTGTTTACTTATATATCTGCCAAAATAATACTTCTGTCATATTAGTTTGAAACTGACTAAGTAATGCCCGGTATGCTGGAAGTGTATAAGAAGACTCATACCAGACGTGATGAATCTCAGGTGAACCAGAAGTGAGTTTTATCAGTGTGTTTTAACTTTTATCAGGTTAAATGTGTAACATTCCATTACAATTGAACTTGATAAATATTGAATTGTTAGCACTTAGCAATGTGGTTTAATTTACTAAATCATATTGAGTTTAGGAAATGTGCTTTGTGAATGTTGGTTAAAGAATCTAAATTTGTACTCCCCGTGCCTGGTTAAGCTTCTTCATCTTCACAAAAATGTAGGGTTGTTTACTTGTAGGCTAAAGAAATGTTGGTTAAAGAATCTAAATCTGTAAAAGCTAGTATGTCTACTTACTCAAAGAAATGTGTAATATAATCCTGATTATTTTTGTTCTATTGGGTTTTGACATATTATTTATTAAACTTTGTTTGTATGCTAGGTGCAGGTGCAATTTCAAGGTACACTAGCTAGCTGCCTTGTGTTTAATGATCAGATTGGTTGTCTAAGTTACACTAGATGTGTAGTGTTTATCAGATTGGTTGTTAAAATTACACTAGTTGCATATAGTAGTTGTTGATATGTTCTTTATTTGTTTAAATATACTAGTGACACGTGCACATTGTTTACCAGATTGCTTGTTTTTATACTAGAGTTATGAACACCTTAAGACTTATGGGCAGTGATTTTCCTAAGTTGATTGCCTATGATTGTCTGTAATTTAATTTTAATATTGCAGATTAGCAAGGAGCATAGCAAAGAAACAAGTGATGATGAAAATGATGATGAGGAGCATGATGATTATGATGATGATGACCATGATGATTATTATGATGATGAATATTCTCTCTGAACTAATGTGTTGTCTTCAAACATTTAGATCTAGTTAGTTTTGTTTTATACAGATTTCAGGTATTTTGTGTTGTACATGGAAGCATTTGTTATCGTGACAAATGTATGTTAAATATAAGTGTACTATGAATACTTTAAAAGAAGTATATGGAATTAGCCATTTATAGTTACTACTAGCATGGCACGCGCTCCGCGCGAAGGTCCGTGCCCAATTAACATAGGAGCATTAAATTTAAAAAGGAGTATTGTGGCAGACATATTAGTATATTTGGTACTACAATTATATATTAATTGAAACATCAAATACTTGAACACTTCATAGAAAAATCAATCAAACGTAAGGTGCCTGCAATTAAAGCAATAAGCTATTAAAGAAAACAGGTAGATTGATCAAAGAAAACCATAAAACAAACAAAAGAAAAACTATCATCAAATTATAAAAGCATTTTACAAAAATGCTTTTATTTGTGAATATGTTTAATTTGTATTTAAAAGAAAAACTATCATAAGATTGTAAAAGCAGTTTACAAAAACAAAAGAAAACTTCTGCAAATGTTTTAAGATAAAAAATTTGGAGAAAATTAAAGCATACCCCTATTGTGTATCTGGTGTGTAAATATATCTACCAAGCATAACGTTATCTCCTGTAGATAAAAGAAAAGCATGTTTGAAATAAAAAATACTTGAAGCCAGAATAAATTTCATCTTTTTCTTTTTTTTCTTATTGATCTGTAATGCAATTTGATATTTTAATTATTGTCTTTATTTGGTTCACCTACAATTCATGTAAAAACTGAGCAATGAATTCATGAACAATAGAAACAACATTGAATGAGGAGAAGAGGCAATGACTCTAAACTTACTTGAAAGGTGAAGCAGGGCATGCTTGGTTAATAAAATAGTACTAATTAACTCCAAAATCTGCATATAAACTTTAGAATCAAATTGCTATGAATCAGTCGACCCAAAATGCAAACTTGGCTTTATTTGTCATGATAAAAACATGATTTCCAATGGACTCCTGAATAGATTGAGAATGAACATAGGAGCATTAAATTTAAAAAAGAGTATTGTGGAAGCCATATTAGTATATTTAGTACTACAATTTATATATTAATTGAAATTTCAAATACTCCATAGAAAAATCAAACGTAAGGTGCCTGCAATTAAAGCAATAAGCTATCAAAGAAAACAGGTGGATAGATCAAAGAAAACCAAAAAACAAACAAAAGAAAAACTATCATCAGATTATAAAAGCATTTTACAAAAATGCTTTTATTTGTGAATATGTTTAATTTGTATTTAAAAGAAAAACTATCATAAGATTATAAAAGCAGTTTACAAAAACAAAAGAACACTTCTGCAAATGTTTTAAGAAAAAAAAATTGGAGAAAATTAAAGCATACCCCTATTGTGTATCTGGTGTGTAAATATATCTACCAAGCATAACGTTATCTCCTGTAGATAAAAGAAAAGCATGTTTGAAATAAAAAATACTTGAAGCCATAATAAATTTCAGCTTTTTCTTTTTTTCTTATTGATCTGTAATGCAATTTGATATTTTAATTATTGTCTTTATTTGGTTCACCTACAATTCATGTAAAAACTTAGTAATGAATTCATGAACAATAGAAACAACATTGAATGAGGAGAAGAGGCAATGACTCTAAACTTACTTGAAAGGTGAAGCAGGGCATGCTTGGTTAATAAAATAGTACTAATTAACTCCAAAATCTGCATATAAACTTTAGAATCAAATTGCTATGAATCAGTTGACCCAAAATGCAAACTTGGCTTTATTTGTCATGATAAAAACATGATTTCCAATGGACTCCTGAATAGATTGAGAATGAACATAGGAGCATTAAATTTAAAAAAGAGTATTGTGGAAGCCATATTAGTATATTTAGTACTACAATTTATATATTAATTGAAATTTCAAATACTCCATAGAAAAATCAAACGTAAGGTGCCTGCAATTAAAGCAATAAGCTATCAAAGAAAACAGGTGGATAGATCAAAGAAAACCATAAAACAAAGAAAACCAGTTAATCCTTCTATTAATGTAAAATCTCAAATACTCAACCCATACGTCAAAATATTAACAACCCTAAGTAGAGATATAATGAAGAATAACCAAAACCAAGAATTCAAAGTCAAGGTATGATGAAGATGAAAGAAATCCAAAGTATCAAATGAAAAGGCAATAAATAGTAACTTCGCCAATTCGTCTTCTGCCGCCGTTGAGGTTAGCCGGTGCGGGCAAACTGGTTTTGATCCTCACCCACCTCACAAACCTGTAGTAAAGGAAAAATACATATGAATAATCCTAACGGTTAGCAATATCCCAATGTTGGTTACAAGTATGCACAAGTACAAAAGAAGTAAGGCTGTCTTCCCAAGGTACCAGCAACTTGCTAAAGCGGGGAAAAAAACAAAAAAACAGCAGAAAATGTTAATAGTCAGGGCTTCTCACTGGCGGGGGCTTACATAGAAACGTTCATGTCGAAGAATTCATCATACGTGTATATAAGAAGAATCATAGTGAAGCTAATTCACTTGAGAATGAACCTCTCAAGCCAGTAAACCCGAACACATGCCATGGCAGATGCCCTGGCCTTCTGATAGCATGCCATATCGGATTGCTACTTTTAGAGGCTTTTCCTCTTTTATAGAACAGCCAAAGCTCTGTACCGCTTTTCCATTACATATAGCGTCTTAGATTTCCTCAGAGGTCATTAGAGGAGTTCTTGTGGCTGCTTAAGTTTCTTTTAATTGAACATTAGTAAAAACCAATCAGCCTAAAAATGTGAAAAGTGAAACTAAAGAAACTGGAGAAATAAGGATTGGATCATCCAACAAAAAAGAATAGTTTTTTATTAGCTGCTTGCTCGCACAAGGCATGAAAATGAAGAAAGGAAAAGTGCATATTTATAAAAATCAATAAGTATACTCTCTGAAGGTGCTGGTGCGAACCAGCGCTTGAAAATTGCATACGATCTGAAAGCAAAAACAAATCTTACTATATATATATAAGATGAATGTTACAACTTTTGTGTTTTATCTTAACTAAAGTATTTTTTTTATAAGATCTAGACTGCCACCCGCCCATGCGTGTATTGTCCTAAAGAGTATAATATATCCATGATTTCATTTATTTCTATTTTCCTTTAGCAGCATATTCACACTCTTTTCAATATGATTTTTTAACCTCATCATATATTGGAGCAGGGGATTTGCCTTGCATTTCATCCTTCTTACTGCTATTAGGAAATTAATTAATTATAAATTTGATTTCACTGTCATTCACAGTCTCTATTTGTAGTTTAATTTTTATACTCTCATAAACTTTTAAAGCACAAAAAAATTGATATGATTAAGATAAAATAAAAAAACAGATTCTTTTTTTTTTCAAAACTAAATAACACAATAAGATAAATTAATTGAGTGTCATAGGAAGTCATACCTCATCTAGAGAAGCACACCGACGTTCCACATATGCTAGTCAGAATGGTGCTTAACCTGCAATGCCCAAACAATTCAACTGGTAAGATACTTAAGGTCAGGAATTTCCATTTTGAGATAAGAAAATGGAAACAAAAGTAAGTGTGCATTTGGGAGAGACAGGAGAAGCCCACTGCTCCAATGAAGCGAAACGTGTAGTAGACCATTCCAAATGCTAAATTTTCAATTGGAAGGTTGAATGTGCAGTCAAAACTAAACTATTAAGAAACACATTGTGGCTTGCCCATATATGCATTAGTAAAACTATACTATTAAGAAACATTAGACCTTGAAATATGTTGCTTAATACTCATGAAAGTAGTAAACTAAATAGAAAAAGGAGATTGGCAGGTTTCCGTTTGTATAGAGAAACATTAGTATATATCTTACTATCTTATAAAATGTCTAAGAATATTAGTATATATCTTTTTGGAAATTCACATTGAAAGGAATTTAATAACATTTTATACGTAATAATTTGATTATGTATATTAGTAGAAAATAGTGGTCAAAGTAAGGTCTATGAATAGTGCAAAAATCACAATGTTGCAAGAATCAAAGAACGGAAGGAAGTATCTTTTACCAAGAAAGTATGTTTAAGGCTATGTTTGCGATGCCTTTTAAGCTAATAGTAGACTGAAATTTCTATAATTCAGTCAAGTATCATGTGATTAGCTTTGTTTGGATAAAAGATTAAGTGAGGCTGAGGTTAAAAAAGGAAATAATGTTTAACAGAACCATTTGATGTCCATTCATTTAACAGAATCAAAGAAAAATTAAAGCGAAATCAAAGCCGGTATCAATAGAATTAAAAAGAAAATACAAGTTGAGGGGAGGATGAAGGAAAATAAACTTTACCAAAGAAAGAAATCAATGAGACCAACTCACAAACACCTGTAATGCTTCGTTTTTATTCAGCAAGGCAGAGAGCAAATGTCTTTCTATGGAAGCATGGTATGTAAATGTGCTTGAGGTCATTAATAGAACTTCTCATGCCCCACTATATCAGCAAGTCCAACAACATAAAAGAAAACTTGATTACGTAGTGATATGTTATTAGATAAAAACCAGTTCTTTGAGCTAAAACACTGCAATCTTACCTAACATCCAACACTCTGGCGATGTTTACCAGGGAGATGTGGTACTTGGTGAGTCGGTGGATGCTGGACGGCTTCACAGGCTAAAATTGTTTCACAATAAAATTGTTAGTCATTACTTATTTCAAGAAAATTTATGAAGAGCAACTTGAGGACCTTTATCACCTGAAACAGAAAGAGAAATAAATTGTCTGCCCTCAGGAAAAATTTCATCACGGGACTGATGCAAACAAAAAGGATAATATGTAAACGATTTATGTTACTCCACATAAAAACATTGAAAAATTATAAAAATCAACTAAGCAAACAAAAAGGACAGTCTTTAAAAGATTACCTCGCCAATGTCACTAATGTTGTAAATCCATGAACACAACCTGTGAAGACATATAACAACCCAAATAAAATCATTATTTAGCATTCAATATAAATCCAACATAGAGTCACAAAAGAAACAAAATCAGCATCAC